TTCTCAGTGAGATATAAATATGCAGAGCCATGGTAGTCCAGCTTCGTTTTCTCTCAATATGCCACTTCTTTTGTTTATTTTACTGTATTTTGCTTTTCCAGACAGGGTCTCACTATGTAGCCCAGGTTGGGCTCGAACTTGTGATCCTCCTGTCTCAGCTTTCAGAGTGCTAGGATTTCAGGTGTGCCCCACCACTTTTAATCAATACCCTGGTGCACTGCTGCATGCTGGATGAAGTGAATTTCCCTGCTCTTTGCTGATGTCTCAAGAAAAGTCAGAAACCACAGCTGAATCAGCTCTTAAACTCTTCTGTGGCAGAATTGGCCCAGGTTCCCAGTCCTTCATAGGTCACAAGGAAAATCCTGAGTCAACTGGACAGGATGGGGCCTGGGGTGGCGGCAGGGGGGGAAGGTATTTGATGAACTACTAATTTCATATTTTTTACATTAGATAATTAAATTTGGAAATACAAAATACAAAGTATAATAGTTTCAATATCTAATATTAAATGTATATGGAACTTCCAAATAACATTTCCCCCAATTTTACCTTTGCATATTTAGTTCATAAATATAAACACTTTTTAAAAACATTCTTTCCATATTGGGTGTTTTCACTTGGTCACCCTTGATTCCTGATTAAGACTTAAATGAAAAGTTCTTCAAATTCTCGGTAGTCACCATCAACAAGAAACTTTGCACAAATAGGTGATGTAAAAAAGTTTTATTCATATTTAGGATGGCCATTTAAAAACTTTTGACAGTATAAATCACCCTTCCAGGACCTGATGATCAATTCTTTGTTTTCACTGATGAAATGTAATGCTGGCATTTCTTGGAACAGTGCCGATTCTCTCCAAACCCTGGGAACATTTTTACCCGGACTAATTCACAGTAACAGAGGAGGAGACCTTGCTGGAGACTGGTGCCTAGATTGGCAGCCAGGCTAGGACCGGGCTTCGTCCCTGAGCTGTTTAGACGTGGAACTGTGGGCAATCCCTGTGGGAACACATGGTTCTAAGGATGCCAGTGGCTCTTGAAAACTAACACTTCAACTGACTGCGTTAGTCCTCTGTCCTACAGTAAGATGGCTTCTTCCAGCCTCCCATCTGTGGAATAGGGATCACAATAGTACCTATCTAGTAGAGTTGTTATGAGGATTAAATGTATGGCATGACTGGCACATGGTAAGTGACATCTATATATCAAATAAAGCAAGGAGGTCAAGAGGCTCTAGAGGCGACCCTGCTAAGGTGTGGATGAGTGTCCCCCAAAGAACAATGTGGGGCCATTTGCTGCAGAGCCAGAGGAGGAGGGGAGAGGCCTGAGGACACCAACATGAACAAGGTGAAATCATTGCAGAAGGATAAAGTTCAACAGTTTATGATCTTCACACAATCTAGTGAAAAAGCTGCAGTAAGTTGTCTTTCTCAAAATGACTGGAAGCTAGATGTTGCAACAGATAATTTTTTCCAAAATCCTGAACTGCATATACGAGAGAGTGTAAAAGGGTCATTGGACAGCAAGAAGTTAGAACAACTATACAATAGATACAAAGATCCTCAAGATGAAAATAAAATTGGAATAGATGGTACAGAGCAATTCTGTGATGACCTGGCACTTGATCCAGCCAGCATTAGTGTTTTGATCATTGCATGGAAGTTCAGAGCAGCAACACAGTGTGAGTTCTCCAAGCAGGAGTTCATGGACACCATGACAGAATTAGGATGTGACAGCATAGAAAAGCTAAAGGCTCAAATACCCAAGATGGAACAAGAATTGAAAGAACCAGGACGATTTAAGGATTTTTACCAGTTTCTTTTAATTTTGCAAAGAATCCAGGACAAAAAGGATTAGATCTAGAAATGGCCATTGCCTACTGGAACTTAGTGCTTAATGGAAGATTTAAATCCTTAGACTTATAGAATAAATTTTTGTTGGAACATCATAAATGATCAATACCAAGAGATACTTGGAATCTTCTTTTAGACTTCAGTGCAGATTGCAGATGACGTGGCTAATTATGACGAATAAGGAGCATGGCCTGTTCTCACTGATGACTTTATGGAACTTGCATGCCCTCAAACTGCTGGGACAAAAAGTACAACAGTGTAGCACTAAAAGAACCTTCTAGAATGTACATAGTCTGTACAATAAATACACCGGAAAATTGTACAATTTCTGCTGGCTGGACTGAACTGAAGATCAATCCTCACTATTCAGACTAAGGGTTGAGACAAAACTTTAAGGATACATTTTGGACCATATCATATTTCATTCTTCAAATGGTGGTTTGGGCTTGTCTTCTAGTCTGGGCCGCTCTAAACATTTATAATTCCAATGTTGTGGATTTCATTTTAATATCTGTGGACCATCCTAGTTTATTCTCCCATAAGTCTTTGAAGCTTTATGGTGATTATTTTGAGGTTTCCATTCTTGCATAAAGCACAGTGCTGTCTTCATCAGAAAACAGTCTGGCCTAAGAATTAAACATAATGAACATCACAAACAATTTATAAAAACTTCTTAAATATATGCTTTGGGCTAGTTGCAAAGACTATGCTGATAGCACTTCCAATGACAGTGATATATTTAAGTGTATGGGATCTGGAATGGTGTTTTGGTTTGGAAGGATTTTTTTTTTCCTGGCAAATCACATGTATTGTTGATGTAAGTAGAATATCTGATGAGAGAAATGTTAAAACAACCATCATGAAAATTTTTTAGGATAACTTGGTGCCTACTTGAAAAATGTATTGTGTTTTAGACTCTCAAAGTTTCAAAAAGGTTCCACAGAAATAGTCTGCACTCACCAATGGTCCTACAGGGAGCTTTTATTTAGCAGATGTCTGCATAATGTTAGATTCTTCTCTTGTCTACATTATGTACCACATAATTGGATTTAATTATGCTTTTGAAATGCTCAAATGCCTATCAAATAAGTTAAACTATTTAATTTGTTTTGAATGTTTTTAATAGCTATACAATACAATATCCTCAATTTAGGCATGAGGGTTTATTTTTACTTTTATTTTTTTTCTTCCTTTTTGGTCATCGCGCTATGGAACACAAATGAAATTCTCTTAATTTATGAAAGGATAGTATGAATTAAATTTTGGAAATGGTTGTGATGAGCCATGAAGTTCAATCTATATAATATAGGTACCGCTCTTTCAGACAAGTAGTCCATTATTGATGACTTCTTATTTTGTTGAAATTGCTTTAACTGCTAATCACTGTGGTTGCCAAATATTTACTTCGGAGCAAAGATTTTCAAACAAGCATATACTTGATAAAAAATACCAATCTGGCTTCTATTTTTGTAAATTATTTAGTCTCTACTGTTTTTGTGTTACATTAGCTCCATTTTCAGGTCAAAGCAGAATGCTGTCTTGTATGGAACTCCTCCCCTGCCGTTTTTGGTTTTTTGGTTTTATTTTTTTGGTTAGGGGACCCATGAACAGCTTTCTTGCCTAAATTGCTCATTTTTGTTTACTTACTGTCATGTGAAGAAGGGTTAATTGCTTTCTTAAACATTTCTGTAAGGCAAATTTAAAAATGCTGAACTTCAAGTTTTGGATGACCATGGTCTTTACTAGGAACAGATTTTGCCTGGTACATCCAGGTACTCTTTGGGGCCTAGTATTGATATCAATAAAGGAATGCACTTCAGAATAGCAGCACATTTTATGCTGATGCAGAAGTGATTTCAAGAAACAATGACCTATTAAAATTGCTTTTTATTTACATAATTTTGAAATTGATGAGTTATTTTATTACTATTCCAGTCTTAACTTTTAATTCAAGAATATAATATTACCAAAAGAAAATTTTGAAAATTTCTATTCAGGTTATTGGAATTATTAAAAGAAAAAAAAAGAGAAGAATCCTGCTGTTTTTAGTGTTTCCTGATTTCATTTTTGTACATATGAAGAGGAATTTCAATTATGAAAAATTTTAAAGATATAAAAATATATGTACTTTTATTTACTGTCTTGAAGATTTTGAGTTACAATATTATTTTCAGATTATTTCAGGTATACTGTGTTTTGAAATGAGAACCCATTTTTTTCCCCATTATAAATTTATTTTCATAAAATTCTGATTTGGTTGTGGCCTAGTGCCTTGGGTTTTACAGATTTTTCTTTTAAATGGAAGATCTTTTCAACAAAATAGTGTTTGTCATCAGTTTGGTACTAAACATTTATAAAGCTTTGAATATAGTTATGTACCATAAAAGTTAAGGTTGTTCACTATGATGGCATTTTAGAATTAAAGCTATTACTAGGGCTGAAAAGAGAGAGAGAGAGAGAGAAAAGAACAATGTGGGGCCTTGTGGAGGTCCTTAGTTGCTGGGGGAATGCCCCCGGGAGATCATAAGATTCTGACTTGTCCTCTCTCTGCTTCCTGGGTAGTGATGCAAGCACTCACTCTGACAAGGGTTCACGCTGACATTGCCACCTGCCAACCTCATTCAAGGCCCAACCAATGGGCTACCTGATCTTGGACTTGAATTTCTGAGTTGTGAGGCACATCAACCTTTTCTAAGTTAATCGCCTCAGTATTTGGTTGTGGTAAAAAAAGGGAAGCTGACTAGTACGATCAGATGCTTAATTAGATGTTCTAAATTGTGACTACCACTCAAGAATTTAGTCTCTACTGTATGTTTAGATGTGGGATGTAAGCCTCAGTTTCCTAGCCCAGCCACACTAAGGACCCAGGAACCCATGGTATAATGACCCACAGATGAAATGGGACATCACATATTATGTGCAAAACATGACAAGTCCTTGACAAATGACTGTTAGGAAGTGGCAGAGTAGGGTGTGAGCCCCAGAGGCTGTGCTCTGTATGCTACAGCTGATTGCAAATCTTTCCAATCTGTGGTTTATTCCTCAGTTATCAACATTTGGGAGGTTTTTCCATATCTCTAACCACGCAGGGAGTCCTTTGGCAAAGGTGCACGGGCTGCTGGACCAGTCATTCTGAGCTGGAAGTAAGTTCAACTCCTTCATCTCATCCATATTTTATTAGGAAGTCATCAGAAAATTAATCAAGTATAAAACTTTAAACATTAAATGAACCACTAGTATCAAACACACAATTCACCTAGGCACACTGGATTTCTCATGAAGATGAGAAGCGAGGTCAAATATGGCATTTCATTTTACAAATATCTTTTCATTTAATAGCTGTGAAAAAGAACTTTAAAAAAAGCTTTGTACAACTGTTAGCACTGAGGAATAGCTTAAAGACCTGTAAGATAAGTGAAATAGGTCATCTTTTTATTAAAATACAGTATCTCTGTCTCTTTCCACCATATATATATTTTTTCTCTTTAAATAAATATATTATGTATTTTTATTTTTTATGGTGCTGGGACGGAACCTAGGGCTTCGCATATGCAAAGCAAGCACTCTAGCGCTAAGCTACACCACCAGCCCTATTACTGCTTTTAATGGAGATTTACTTGACAACATTCAGAAGGTGCACTGGGGCCATGGAGTTTACTTAGTTCAGAAAACAAATATTGTACTAAAAGCAATAGGTAGCTAGGGTTGGTGGCTTACGCTTATAATCCAGGACTTTGGGAGGCCGAGGCAGGAGGATTGCAAGCTTGAGTCCTGCCTGGGGAACTTACCAATACCCTTTCTCAGAAAAAAAAAAAAATTGAAAAGGGGCTAGGGATGCAGTTTAGTGCAAAGGCCTTGGGCTCACTCTACCATACCTCAAACGTAGTTCAAATAAAAACATCAGGCAGAAATGGATCCTTCTAAAGCAGAAGGCACTTGGGCTTGGCACATCTTCACTTTGCTCTGCTCACATCAGGACTTCTGAGTCTTCCAGGGAGTCATCAGCAAACAAAAGTTCATCTGGGGATGTGCTCCCCAAGGGTAGTGTGCTACAGTGGGACCACAAGACACCATTCTGTCCTAGTCTGTCTTCTGGTAAAACACTGTTCTTTTCCCCTGGGGCTGTAGCCAGGGGCACAGATGCCTGATTGTCCCACTCCTCACTGCCCCCGTTCAGGATGTACCTTTCTTCCTGAGGTTTGTTTTCATGGACCTCCACCTTGACCACGCTTGCGCCCGCACTGGGGGTACAGGAGGCAATTATGGAGTCGGGGTCGATGTTCATGTCCAGCTGAGCAAGTGCCAGGCCCTCGGCTAAGCCATCACAACTCTTGGACAATGGGGTGTTCACATAGACGACCGCTGCTTTGTCCTGCGCATCAGGCAAACTCTCTGAGAGCTTTTCTAGCTGCAGCCTCAGCACTGAGAAGGTGGGTCGGTCCAAGGGGTCCGCGCTCCAGCAAGAAAACATGATTTCGTACCTGAAAGCAAAGAAAAGGTGAATGGTCGCTGGGGATTTAGCTCAGTGGTTTCGTTGCCTGCTGTGCAAGCACAAGGACCTGAGTTTGATCCCCCGTACCATTTAAAAAAAAAAAAAAAGAAAAGGTGAATGGTCTCCAGGCATGGGACCCAGTTCCCTTAGGGCAGTGGTGGCAACAACCAGACTGTTTGTTATCACTGAAAGTGCTAAAAGGTTCCCATCACTGCCTTAGGCCATCCCACCCCTTTGTCTTCATCTAATCTTTCATTTAATCACATTGTAATCAGCATTCATTCCACTTTTGATGAAAAGTTTTCTTTTTAGTGGCCTAAAGTTTATTCAACTTTTGTAAATGTTCCTTGGGCATTTGACAAGAAAGTGATTCTGGTTCCAAGGACAGAGGATATATATATATATGGTAATTATACCTACATCTTTGCACACAATGAATGTTTAAGATTCCTCCCTCCCTCCCTTCCTTCTCAGTACTGGGAGTCCAGCCCAGAGGTGCTCTACCACTGAGATACATCCCAGACCTTTTCATTTTACTTTTTTATTTTGAGACAGGGGCTCACTAAGTTGCCCAGGCTTGGCTTGAATTTTCAATCTACCTGCTTCAGCTTCCCTAAGTGCTGGAATTACAGGCATGCATCACCATGACTGGTAGTCCTTTTATTTATACAGGGTCTAGCAAACTATGGCCCATCGATAAATCTGTTCCAATGACTGCTTTGCAAATATTGTTTTATTAGAACATAACTACATATGTTTGTGTCTTGTAACTACTTTTGCTACAACTGTTGTAACAGAGGCCCACAAAGCCAAAAATATTTACTATTTGGCACTTTACAAAAAAAGTTTGCTGACCTCTACTGTATACATCAAACTGGGCTGTGATCAAGGGAGCTGAGTTAGATGGGATGCTGATATCACTAGGGTTAGGAAGGCCAAGACCTGGTGTGGCACAAGGAGGGGAGGTATGTGGAATGGAGTATCACTCCATCTTATCTTCCCAACTGCCCTGTCATTGTCACTCTGTGAAAAATGACAGTGTACTCAGGGAGGTGATAGGATGTGCCCTGGCCATGAAGGCAGCAGGGGGATCAGATTCAGACTGAACAATTCTTATGCCCAAATGCTTGTCATGATCCTCTCTGGCAAGCTCTTCCCTCTTTTCTGGGTGGTTCCTTCATTTCTGGTGTCCAATATAATTAAGAACTACAAAGGAGGGACATGTAAAGGAGCACAATAAGACAGAGAAATGACAATTAGGAATCACTACCTGAGCAAAGGAGTTATACCATCATTTCATTTTGATCCTTTCTTGTTTTGAGAAATTGATATTTAATACCACTAGATTTTAAAAAATGACCTGGATTTAAATGATCTGATGTATCCCATAGATTATTGGTATTTATGAACAGAAATATGCAATTCCCATATTTACACTTAAAAATCCTTTGCCTAATTCTACCACTACAGGTGCTTCATCCACAACAGATCCCAACCATACAGAACTCTAATGCTGTCTTTTCATTTGTCTACTTTTTTAGTCTTTATCAGTACTCACACACACTTGAGAGGTAGGAACCCTCCAAGTGCCATGCACATGAAAGGATGGAACCTGCACTCAGGAAACTGAGACAGTAGCAGGCATGATTCCCTGTGTTACGGTCCTGAGCGTCATTTGAGGTATAGAGGCTCTCTTTCATTTTCCAGTCTTAACCTCAGTAGATGGTCCCTTAGGCTTGGGAAACAATTTTTGTTTCTACTTTTGAGGTTTTCATAGTGTAAATCAATTTTGCATGACTCCTTGTTTTCCACAGAGCCTTGATTGTTTGCAGTCTGAGATGAGCTTTGAGAAATTCAGTCCTTGGAGACATAATGTCCTTTTCATTCCTTCATCAAGGGGCTGCTGCTATTTAATTCACTTGTACTTATTCCATGTCTTAGGAGAAAGTGTTTAAACTATATATTTTTTCACATAGAATATAGTAATGTCACTTTGGTATTTCTTTTCCTTTTACATTCAATAACTTTATAAAATATAAATGACTTTTTAAGACACAGTGAGCATATATACTGTTTAACCTACTCCTACAAAAGGGCAATTTCATAGTGGTGACCCAAGGTGATGAATAGGAGGTCCTGCATCTACCTGGTAGGTAATAAGAGGGCTGGAATGTTTAGTGATTTAAATTTTATGTATGGAAAAATAAAGTTTGGTAATTGCCATTGTAAATAGTCAGTTTTATTTTTCTCCTGAGACTTTATAAATGATGTAACCATATAGGCTGCTGAGGGGGTTACTCAATGGATAGAGTTTGAGTTGTGCAAGATAAAAGGAGTTCTCCAGATGGATTGTGGTGATGGTTACACAACAATGCGAATGCTCTCAGTGGGACTGAAGTGCACACGAAGTGCATAAGATTGTAAAACTTTATGTTGTGTAAATCTTACCTCAATTTTAAAGAACACTCTCAGATTACAGAATGGCAGTGTACTGCACTACATGTCTGCTCCGAGAAAGGACACCCACCTCATACGGACTATGTTCCATGCCAAGGTCTGATCCTAGCTGCTATCTGGCCAACTGCAACTCTCACCCTTTCCTTTTCTGAGCCTGGGTTGCATCAAGTGGAAGGGGAGAGATAGACAGATCAGTATGCAGAGGAGGGCTTCCTAGAGGGGCAGCAGGTTGTGAGCTGGGGCCCTCCGAGCACAGGGGCAGCAGACTGAGACAGGGCTGGCCTTGTGCCCAGCAATATTTCAGGCCCTTGATGCCCAGATACGGGAAAGCACAGACTGGCATCGGATGTGTGTGTGTAGGGGGGGTTGTGTGGGTCACAAGGGCAGTGTTGTGAGGAGTGGCAGAGAGCCCCTGGGAGGACCCCCAGGAAGAAACCCCTGATTCTGAGCTTCAGCTTCTAGGCGGTGACACAGATGGGACATTATCAGTGAGTCCTGCTGTGTAGAGCATTTATACCTCACAGCAGCACCACTGGGAAAGAAATCTAGGTCCCTACCCAGCAGGGCAGCTGAGGCTTGAAGAAAAGACAGGGAAAGACCCACTAATAGCCAGGGGCACAGCCAGCTCACAAGACACCAGGGCCCTGCTTCAACACTGACCTTGAACCATCATGCCAAATACTTATTTGGGGGCCGGGGATTTAGCTCAGTGGCATGGCACCTGCCTTGCAAGCGCAAGGTCCTAAGTTTGATGCCTGGTACCGCAAACAACAACAACAACAACAAAAACTTCACTGGACCCTGGCTTCTCAGCTAGCACATCCACTGATCACACATTATTTCATCCTCATTTTACGGATGAGGAACCTAACAGGGTGATGCTGTGCCCAGGATGGGCTGCAACTAGCTCTTAAATCCAGTGGTACCTGGTCCGAAGCCCAGCTTCATAGCCATTCAGCCACACTGCCTAACACAGGTCAGATCCTGACAATTTCAGGTTTACTCTAAAGATAATAGGAACCACAGGTTGATTATGTCTAGAAGCATGCCATGATAAATAAAATTTTATTTATTTATGTATTTAGTTGTGGTGCTGGGGGATGGAACCCAGGGTCTAGTGCTGAGCTAATCCCAGCCTCAGGTTACAATGTGAGAGAGGTCACTGTGGTTACCACCCAAGCAATATATTAGGAGCCTGGGGGTGAGGAGAAGGGAGAGTCAAAGGAGCACGCCTTCCCACTCACTCATTCCCTTCTGCCAGATGCCACTGTGATGAGTGGGAGCCCTGGGGTCCTACAGTTTGACAGCATCAGCAATGGGAACAGAAGAGGAGGGGGCTTGGAAGGATATCTGCTGGTTGATGGGACCCAGGGGAGCAAAGGAAGAACAAGGCACCTCCCAAAGATAAAGGAATAGAGCCATTGCTGGGAACCATGCCGCCAGCTGGTAGTGGTGGGGGGGTCCTCAGGGCTGCAGGGCCAAGGTGAGCCCAGCGAGGCATTGTACCATGAAAGTGGGTGGAGGCATCACAGAGAGTGACATCTAGGGCAATGCAGAGAAGTCCTGGTCACTCCAAAGTGGGGGTGGTGCTGCAAGGAAGTGGACCACCAAGGCAGGGTCAGACGGCAGGGCGTGAAGGGGCTCTATGAGTAACACTGTTCTACTTCACAGAGTTGATGTGAAAAACCAGAGGGCAACAAAGCATAAGCATGAGCTCATCTTAGCTGTTTATACACCAATCCCAGCCAGGAGGCAGAGCATTCACTTTATTTTTTAAAAGGAAACGACCTAGCAATGAAAGCACAGAGCTTTCATTGGGAAAGACATTTTTTGTCAGCATCCAGATGCGAACTGAGACCAGGAAGAAGGTCTGTTCACCAGCGCATTGGCCACCGCTGCCTCTGCAGCCCAGGGCATGGGGCCAGGAGGAGTGTGGGGAACTTAGGCCGTCTGCATCTGCCTGGCTCCCCAGCCACACATGACATGGGTGCTGACTCTGCCACTCTTACCACCTAGTCATCTCAAAGAACACAGACTCAGCATTCCCTTGTTTGGGTCTGTGTGAAACATCTAAAAATCTCAATGTGACTCAGCTCAGACTTTCCTAGGACCCAAGCTCATCAGTGCAAATGTGAACTTTTATTGCCCCAGGAAAGTAAAGAAAGGAATTGCAACAGAACTCTTCTCAGTCCACACTGTTTGATGTAAAGTCCTCATTTTCAGAAGCAAACATGGCCCTTTAAAAAACTACTGTGAAACCCTAGAACTAATTTAATTAGCATTTCAAGATGTTTTTAAGGGGTTTACAGTGTTTGTTTCTGTTTAACGTTAAATATCTACAGAGAATGTTTAAATTTTTTAAAAATTACAGCAAAAGATGCACTGCTATGAATCCCCCTCAGAACACCACACCCCCCATTTAAACACTTATCCCATCATTTTTGCCACTTTCTGAAGCAGTTCAGGAAGTCCTCTTTCATGAGTGTCCTTATGCAATGTGATCAACAATTTGGCAAATGCTGCTGTGTGCCACCCAGTGGAAAGGCAGGCTCATGAAAACATTATGGTGTGTCTTTATCTACCTTATTCACTGAGTCTGGCATCTTCCCCAAAGTCAAAGTCAACCTCTGAATCTTCCGCAAAGTCAAAATGACATGAAAAGTAAACCTTTTGAGTTGATTCAGGACTTTGAGGCAGCCACGACAGCACAATTAAGGGCACTCATGGAAGAGGAGTTGTAGAGCTGCTTCAGAAAGTGGTAAGAACCATGGGACAAGTGTGTTCAAAGTAAGCAGGAATAGGATTGAGGAGGATTAATGATGTCTTTTACTGTGTTAAATTTTTAAAAATTACCATCACTATATTTTTTTAATCACACCAAGCATGGCAAGAATGCCCCTCTGCAAGCCTAGGGCTCTTATTACAAAGGGAGAAGACTCACCATCAAGTCAGGTTCATATCACCAGGCCACAGGCAACATTACAAGACATTGTCATGAATAGGGCAGCAAGGTGCTTGGGAGAGAGCAATTTGTAATGGCGCTAATATTTCATGAGCACATTCTTTGTATGCCTCCTACAAGCTGAACATTCCATACACTTCTTCTTTTTTTTTTTTTGTTCAGGGGATCGAACTTGGGTCCTTGCGCTTGCAAGGCAGGCGGTGAAACAACTGAGCTAAATCCCCGGCTCCATACACTTCTTTATGCAACCTTTTTTACAACAGCTTTCTGGAGAAAATACAGCTATACTACTTTTGTGGCTAATAATACAAGGCACAGAGAGGTTAAGTCAGCTACCATGGCCACACATGTGGGTAGTTAGGAGGCAGAACCTGGCCTGTCCTCCCTAAGGTGTGGGTCTCTTCTCCATCACTCCCAGCCTTGAGGACAAAGAGGGTTCTGCCAGGACAGAGTGTGCACTGTGGCTAGACTGGAATAGCTCACACCTGGTGGAATACTGCCTTCCAGAGAGGATTTTACAACACTTATTTCCAGGCCCACTTTGTACCAAGGGCATCACGCTCTCCAGGTACAGGCTGAGGAGCCACCTTGTTAGAATAGTCCCCAAGCAATTCTTATGACCAGCCTGATTTTCAAGTTTCCTGATGAAGGATATGAATGTGATTAGCATGTCTGAAATGCTATGTACAATGATAAGGGGACCCAAGAGAGGTAGGGAATCATTCTAATACCTCATGCTTTAGAAACTAAACCTATTTACTGATAGGGTACACTTCCCAGAGGTGCTTAAGAAGCACCTCAAATATCTGCAGATGCCACCCTTGGCACATGCCCACCTGGCTAACAGCCCCTGGGCCCCAGTGGCTGTGTGCTCCTCCGATCTTTGTAGAGTCAAGTGGATGCCCATGTATGATGCCCAGGGATACAGAGATGCTCACTCACAGTTCATCCAGGCAGTCCTCAGGCTGCTTCAGCCTGTGGCCATAGAGAAGGTAGTCGTACATCTCGTGGTTCTGGACTCCAGGATAGGGAGTCATTCCCCGAGTTGCTATTTCCCACATGGTCACACCAAAGGCCCACTGAGAACAACAACAACAAGTTAGGATGCAAGTCTTTCCACCAAGGCTGAATGGACCTTTTCATTGGGAAAGGTCACTTCCTTAAAGCCCAGATGACTGTGCACAAAGCTAGCAATTATGTCTGAGACCCACTGGTGTCCCAACACGGCAGCAACGTGGGGTTGGAGTGTCACAGTTCCCCATTTTTATGAAGCTGTTCTGGGAAATCTGATAAAGGCAGACAGCCTCATCTCACATCAGCATTGCTTAATGCTCTGCTTCACTGCTGTAGCGAGTTTTCTCTGGCCAAGGGCATGATTACACATCACCTCTAGTACAGCATATAGTTTCAAAAAGCCACTGGATGATATACTCTCAATTTATGTGGATAAGAAATATTTTAAGTAGTAGGCAGTAAGTTAGTCCTTTTATAGCAAAAAAGGGGGGGGGATTAATGACAGTCTTATGAAAAACAGATCTTCTGAATGTCACCTCCATCATTTCTTGGTGTGTTCCCCCACCTTTGCATAGAGGGACCCAAAATCAAAGCCATGTACACACCACATCACTTTTACTTGTGTAGACTCGGTCTGCGAGGCTCTCTAGGGCAATCCACTTCACGGGCATCTTTGCGATGCGGCCTTGGCGGTAGTAATCGCCGCTATAAATCTTCTTAGAGAGGCCAAAATCGGCCACGCAGACAGTCATGTCATCTCGCAACCTAGAGAGCAAGTTCCTGTCCTCAGCAACCTCAGAAGCAAAATTTGAAGCTGCAGGTCTCAATCAGATGCATCCTGAAACATTTATGCTAAGTGATGGGGTGGGAGTGTCTGTCTCTACCACTCTTGTCTCTGTGGGGACATGCCCAGCAAGGGCCACCGTGCACAGCAGCTGGGGACACTGAGGGGACATAGACATGGTGTAGCAGGAGCAGGAGGAGCAGCAGCTCCATACCTGACCCTCTGTGGACTGATCTAGTGCTCAGCAGTGCTCCTGCCTGGTGTCTGGAAGTGGCATGGGTCCTGTGGACTAATGGAGCCCTGGGCAGGATGGGGGAGGAGGGAAAATACAGGCTGGAGAAGGATGTGGGGGGCTGCTTGCTGAGGTGGCCAGGTGAGTGCTTGAGGGATTAAGTGAAAAATTAAAGCAACATAACTGCTTTTTTTGTTTGTTTGTCTGTTTTTTGGTACCAGGGATTGAACTCGGGTCCTTGCGCTTGCGCAGCAGGCAGCCGAAACCACTGAGCTAAATCCCTGGCCCCATAACTGCTTTACAGTCCAAATTATTAAAACAGATCCTTGACAAGAAAGAGGAAAAGAAGAAGAGTAGAAAGGGAAAAGAGGGACAGGAGGAAAAACAGAAGGAGAAGAAGGAGGAGTAGGAGGAGGAAGAGTAGGAGGAGGAGGAGGAGGAGGAAGAGGAGGAAGAGGAGGAGGAGGAGGAGGAGGAGGAAGAGGAAGAGAACAGGAGGTAGGCAACTAGCTTGTCCCTGTTTGCTTGACATTATTTTTTTTTGAGTCTTTGGGACTGCTTTGAAGTCTTGGAGCCTTCCTGCCTTTTTGCATCAAATGCTGAGATTACAGGCATGTGTCATTACATTCAGCTTCTGCCTGATAATGATTTTAAAACTAAAAGTCCCATATCCTGGAAAATCTCTCAGTCTAGGGCAAACTGGACAGATGGTCACCCTACCTGGTGGGGAAAAATATGAAGGAAATTTTAATATTAAAAGAAAAGAAAGTTTTCATGAGATTTCCCCTCCATAGCAGAAAAATATTTAAATGTAACAACCCCTTTGGGATTTTAAAAAACGAGGTGAAAGGTAAAAGACATGGAAGGAAGTTGAGAGGAGGGAGTGGCAGGCTCCATGGCCACATCTCTGACCAAGAAAAAGAAATGAGAATATAATGTGAAGTGAAATAAGGCTGACACACAAGTTTAAATATCACATGCTTTCTCTTAGATGGTAAACTCAAAGTATATAAACATAAAAATAAAGAGCAAAATAGAAGATAGAGAAATAGGAAGTAGGGAGAAGTTAAAATAATCCCCCAAATTCTCTATTCTGTTGTTTCAACAGTTTCAATACATATGCTAATTTGTTTTATCTATACTACTAGTTTTTCTTAATTCACTGAAAAGAAAGTTTTGTGCTACTTTAAACAATGACAGTACACTCAAGGATTCCCTCTTCTAGCAACAGTAAGCTTAAAAGGGAGAAATAGTCATTGCCTTCGAAGGGTGCCAGACATAATGGCTCTGTCAGAGAAGGGGGGAGAATGGGGAGAACTGAAGCTCCAAGTTCTCGTATAATGAGCCTTTGCCTGGTGTGTGCCCAAAGCTTTTCTCACATGTACTCATGGTATGAAAGTTCTTTACATGGAAGTATCAGGAAGAAATAGGAACAAAATCTTCACAACTTTTATCAGTGTCCCTTAAGTTATGTAGGTCATTACTTATTATTGTCATGATGTCACTTAACATAATTCTGGGTGCAAAGCTAGCTAAGAAAAGTCACAAAGATCATATCTAGTACATATAGCTGAGTGAGAGGGTAAAAATAAAAAAGTAATCACAGGAAAAAGCTTTAGAGGCTAAAGCCTCTTAGAGGTAGTGACAATGAAGATGTCCAAGCAAAACTCTAACCAGGGTCAGAACCACAGAAATCCAACACCAAGCAAGCCATACTGTTCCCTCCCAAACCAGCCTCTCTCCATTTTTATTTTTAAAATTTTTTAACAGTACTGGGCTTTGAACCCAGGACTTCAAACATTCTAGGCAAGTGTGCTACCACTGAGCTATACCTCCAGATCTCCCTCCATATTTTTACAGCAGTAGGTTGTCTCCCCCAGTCTCACAAAGGTCAAACACCATAAGGTCCAACGCCCTCCAAGATGGTCCTGGATCTTACATGCAGTTTCGAGCAGCTAAATCCCGATGGAGAAAATTCCTGTTGCTCAGATACTCCATTCCCAGGGCAATGTCCACCATGAATTTCAACAGTGTCTGCAGAGGAATATGCTAGGGGTGGAGGAAACAAGAAGAAAGACTGTTGTTAGAAGGAAAGGACCCGAGGAGGGAGATGATGTTCTTATCCTTTAAGGTGTGGGAACGGAAGAAGGAAACAAATCTCTTATCTGCTATCACAAATAAGCTTTTAAATATAAAATTTAAAAACTCTTAAAACTTCTTAGAAAAAACATTCTCTTCTTCCCATCTTTGTAAGTATTTACAGTGATTTACATTTTGTTTCTTCTCATAAGTTATGAGGCCAAAGATGACCTGCTGCAGCCTTGTAAGACAGTGGAATATGGTGCCCATGGCAGGCAGATGAGGATGAGGGGGTCTGGGCTCAGTAAGGGCAGGCTGAGTCTGTTGGAGGGGTACAGTGTTTGGGAGGCAGAAAGCCCACTTAGTAAGAGCTGTTTTAATTATGTATCCATATCTACTATCATTTTTTTCAAATCCCCCCTGCTCCCGTGCTGGGGCTCAAACCGAGAGCCTCACACATGCTAGGCAAGTGTTCTACCTCTGAGCTATGGCTCGGCCTTTCTACTGTCACTGTATTTGAAATGTTTTGAAAGATGCTTTTCTTCTTATAGACAGCAATCAAGCTATTCTTCAGCCTTTATCACAAGACCAAAGTGCAAGAATGTCTTCAGGAGGATTCCTTGTGTTTCACTAAGGAGATACTATAAATTTCAATAGTCTAGCATTTTATCTATTGTAAAAATCAAACTAGATTGCTGTGCTAGAAAATCTACCACTGTTATCATTATGAGGATGACTGATGTAGACCTCCAGGTAATAATGAAATGTTTCATGCAGTCATGGCTTACCACAAGCTTCTGCTATCATGAGTGGATCCATCCAGTACAGAGTCTCCCTAAGGCACTGGATCTGCCATGGCTTGTTCACCTTGGAACATTAGTATTCCAAAATGGCACTCACAAAGACATTGCATTTTTAATGACTTAGATTACCCAACCAAGACCCATGTCAATTACACACTGCGTATAAAAACAAAATGCCTTAATTACCCTTACGCTTCAGTATTGGAGTTTTTAAAAATGGAAACAAATCAGGCATGTATGCTTTATGCCCCTGTTCTGCTTATTTGGGGCATTTGTTTTTCTGGATGCCAACTTCCAGGAAAGGATTTGTGTCCTAGGAAATATCAAATTTTGCTGTCATTTCTGAAGGTGTCACGAGTATCAGTTGTTATAAATTTGTGCTATAATTTCCTGTAATAATTATGTTATTCTCAGAGTGTTACTAAATAGTCTTTTAAAAAATAATTGTGTGGTATAATTAATTAATGATTTCAGCATGATTGCAAGTCACATGATAAACAATTTTTTAAATGCTGTTCCAAGAAAAGGGAGAGGTAGAGGAAAATGGAGAAAGCTGTGGGGAGGAATGGAGAAGCGTCTCTCCCTGTCCCTGGAGGTTGAGGTGTGAGGCTGTGATGGCTGGAGAGCTGGGTGCCATTTGTAACCATGCGGACAGCTGGTCACAAGTGAAAAGCAACATGGTGGGACAATTCTGGATACTTGATGATATCACTGAGGATAGAACTGTTATTGAGCGCAGCTCTGGATCAGTGCTGTCTCTGGGCTTTGTGAGATCCTGAATCTCCAATGTGAAGGCCATTCCAAACTGGGTTTGGTTTTCCATGCTGGTGAAGCCATCCTTCCTGCTGCAGAGCCCAAAAGCCAATGTCAGTGCATTTTCCCAGCTCTTTATCACCTGTCTTCCATCCTTCCTTCCACCTCTTTGCTTTTGTCACACAAGATGCTTACTTTCTTAAACCACCGGGCATGCTCAGATCGCTCATTCTATTCTTAGCTATGTATTTATTTCACTTAATTTTCCACTTTGTTCCCACCACTTGTTTGAGGACAAACATGATGGCAGTGTAGAATATTAAAAAATATCCCCAGTCTGAATTCATCTCCTCCCTGAAGCTCTGAGCAGGTTGCTTGGTACATGGATAACTGTAGCTGTCACCCTTATACTGCCAGCCTGTGACGACTGGGTCACCTCATCATGTGCCTGTCTGCTCTGCATACTTCCAAGGGTGCTGTTCACCCAGAGGACAGAGGGGCACTTGGGGCCAGCACCCAGATCCCGCTGGAGTGACATGCTTACAGGCCCTGAGATCTAGGCTAGGGCTACTCTCACAGGAACAAAAGCGCTTTATTCCAGGAAACTGACCAAATGGAGAGCAAATATCTGAATAAAAACATGATTTTCCAGTTAATCTATGCACTCTGTATTCTTTCTTTATCTATGGCTTCAAAGTATCAAAATACAAAAATACATCCTTTTTTATATTTATAACTGAAGATAGCCTTGTACTTTTGCAAATGGAAACTATTCATTAGTCAGTAAAAGGCTGTGTAGTTGGCTTTCCTCACTTGCTATTTTGTTAAAAGAATATAAGATCACAGCAGAACTTTTGGCAGCCACAGACAAGCTGATTCTCAAATTTATCTGGGAGGGTACTGAAAGTAGGACAGCTAAAACAATTCTGAAACAGTACAATAAAGTGGGAGGAAGTACATGCTGCAATTTTAAGACTTACAAAGCAACAAAGCTTTGGGAGCAGAGGATGGGGAGACAGTTTAATGGAACAGAAAGGAGAAATCAAATAGATCCACATATTTATAACCAACTGGATTCGGACAAAGGCATGAAAGCAATTCAGTAGAGTAAGGATATGCAGTCTTTTCACAAACAATGATTATCTATATGCCAAAACTCAAGCCCAAACAAAAAACCCACCCAGAACCTTCAACTGAATTCCACATCTTATACAAAATTTAACTCAAAATGGGCCCTATATGCAAATGTACCATGGGAAAACCCATACTTTTAAAAAGGAAACAGGAGAAAAACTTTTTTTAACAAATAAAAATAGGATTAGGCAAAGAGTTCTCAGATATGATAGCAAAAAGCATGATTTGTGAAAGGAAAAATGGAAGCAGGTGTTTCTAATTGCACTCACCCGAGTCCTGCTATTGATGGCAGCTGAGGGGGTAAAGGGAATGGTGTTAGAGAATGCCCAGGTGTAGACTGAGGGGTTGGTTACTTCCTGGGCCTGTGCTCTTTCACAGCAGTGATGGAGGAGCGACTTCCATCCTCATCAGGGAGCTTAGTGCCAAAGGCCCCACGCTGTCCTCATGCATGTCCCGGCCAGAGCCTGCTAGCCCCCAAGCAACGCTGCCTTCACTAACATAGAGACGGCAATCGAAGGAAAGAAAGAGGGCAGATGGCTCAGCCAGGCATGCAGATGGGACACAATTCACATCTCCTGCTCAGTCCATAGGCAACAGGACAGGAGGACATAGTTTGCATTCCAGACCAGGAGGCCCTGAGGCAGTGTCTCCATAAACTATGAGGCCCAAACTCTGCAATCTAAACTAAAAACTGGCCTAAAGAGGCAAGGCTCTAAGTCTGTGGTCCTAAACTTCCTAGGTGATCCGGCAATATCCCAAATTGCTAGGCTGCACCATCCTCATGGCCCGGAAGCCTAAACATCGAGCACAATGTTACAGACATTTTAAGAATGTCAGGCATGCAGTCCTCTTGCCTCACCATATTTGACTACAACTGATTTTTACTAGATTAAGACTATCAGGAGTGGGTTGTGGTAGTTCACGCCTGTTATCCCAGCACTCTGGGAGGCTGAGACAAGAGGGTCACAAGTTCAAACTCAGCTTGGGCAATTTAGAAACTTAATGAGATACCATTTCAAAACAAATAAATAAAAGGGCTCGGGTGCAGCTCAGTGCAAAGGCCCTGAGTTCAATCCCCAGTACCACAAAACAAAAACAAAAACCTATCAGGAAAGTACATATTCACAAAAAAACTGGTCACACTTCAAAGGATGAAGTCCATAACAATGAGAAGAGCTCTGCAAAATTTCTTTTAGGACAGTCATCTGGGCTTGAACTCACAATACTCCTGCCTCAGTCTCCCAAGTGTTGGGACTAAGGCCTGTGCCAGCATGCTGGGCTAGGACATCTGTTAGCAAGCTCTGAGGAGTCTAGGGCTGTGACAGGCATGAGGTGTTGACTGGGAGCCAGGCTACTGGGTCCCAGAGTCATTGAGGCCTTGGCCACGAGGCTATGAGCCCAACCAGCTTCCCTCTGCCATACAGCAGAGACAAAAATCCCCACGAGCAGGCCTGCTGTGAGCATGGACACCATAGGTCAACACCCAGGCACACAGGGGCCACTGAACAAAGAGTAACATCCTTTCCTTTTCTCCTATGTCTTTGAAGTGAGACCTGGGGCTGCCCCATGGAAGGAAGACCCAAGAACCATCCGAAGGTGGTGCAGGGACCATTACCTTTGGTCCCGTCTCCAGTCGGGAGTACAGTAAGTAGGTGTGCAGGTCCCCGTATTTCATGAAGGGTAAAATCACCATGGGCTTTGGGATGCCTTGAGAGCTCATTTCTATACATACGCCTGGAATTAAAAACAGAACCAGTCACAAAGAGCCCTTGTTTCATGGGACCAAAAAACCCCTGCAGGGCCAGTGGCCAAATTGAAACCAGGTGCTGTCAAGTTAACAGTCCCACGGTATCCTAGAAGATTAAACACACACTGGCTTACTACAAGTTTATTTATTTTTTTCCTCTTTCAAATCAGGGGCAGTCTTGCATGTCAGATCTCAAAAAAATCAACTTGTAGTAAATACAGCCACCTAGAGACCTAGGAGTTTTTGTTGGACTGAATCTAACTGAGGGTAGTGACTGTCTTAGAATTTGAGAGCAAACTAGTTTCATGTGATAGTTAAATACTGAATCATATGAAGAAGTCCACTACAACCACATTCTTAAAACTATTAAAAGAATTTGGGGGGCTGGGGCGTAGCTCAGTGGCACAGCATGTCCTTATGGCTTGGGTTCAAACTCTAGCACACCATCCCCCTCAAATTTTGAGGGTCTGTAGGTAGAACCCACTCCCCTAAATTTTAGACATTATATAACAAGAAGCTACAATACCATTTATCATGGAATTCTAGAACTAGTGGAGCCTGTCACCTAATCCTAGGCTTGCAAAGCGCTTGCACTTTGTCAAGCAATTACAAAGTATGATTGTTCTCAGAGTCTGCTAAACCAATAGCTGCAAGTAAAGAAAAGCCATTTCTTTGACATAATATCCAAACATTTGTTTTTACATCTTTCTACAGTGTCAATTCCAAAAAATTTTGAAAAATTCCTCAAAGAATTTATTATGCATCAAGCCACAGGACAGAAGAAAAAAAAGTCAGCAGAAAGTTTTCATGCTTTTCAGGTTGTTCCTTTCTCTTAGAATAGCGTCACTTGGGCTGGAATGTGGCTCAGTAGTAGAGCACTTGCCCAGCATACACGCGGTCCTAGATTCAATCCCTAGCACTGCCAAATTTTTTTAAAAAGTGTACTTACACAGCTCCCACTAAAACCACATCTCCTCTTTTTGTACTTTTTATCTAACAGGGCTGTAAAAGCAAATTACATTAAACCACACTCATGAGATAGTCAATGGTCAATGTACCACAATCATAAATCAGGACTTTGGAGTATGTTCATAAAATTATTTCTCAAAGATGATGTACTGAATTTGATAACTTTTATAGCTTTACCTGATACCTGATTTGTGCATAATCTTAAATCAGCAAAGATTATCACATGGCCAGCTTGTCTTGCCTTTGAGTAACAGGGGCTGCTTTCACCTATAGTCTTATGAAGCTCTGTGGACCCTCTACCCATCCAAAGGGCAGAACACATCCATATCAGCCCCAGAAAACAGAAGAAACAGAAGGAGAAGTGGTCTGGGTAAGAAACCATGCTTTTTTGGGGTTATGCAATGTGTAAACTTACACACACCAAAGGTTTTCCCCTTTGGCACACAGTATAATTACCCAAGCCCCCCTCGCCCGGACCCTGCGTCTCCCCAAGGTACCAAGAAGTCGGATGACATTAGGGTGGCTGAAGTCTTTCATGCATGCTGCCTCACTGAGAAACTCCTCGATCTCCCGTTGCGAGAAGTTGTCCACTAAAGGAAAAATGTCAGGTACAGTTAGCCTACTCAGTAAGGGGAGAGGGCAGAGCAGCGGCAATTTTGTTCTCTAAAAGTAAAATCAGGAAAAGGTACAACTATATAGACAGAAACCAAATGAGTGGTTGTCAGGGGTTATTGGGGTTGTGGGAAGAGAGGGACCAACAGGCAAAGCACAGGAGACCTTCAGGGCCATGAAGCTATTCTGTATGATACTACAGTGGTGGACACAGGCTTCTTGTACGTTTGTCAGAATCCATGACCCTATACAGCACCAAGGGTGAACTCAAGTGTAAACTGAGGACTTCAGTTAATAATGTGACCATAAGCATTCATCAGTGGTAAAACATATGCCACACAACTGAAAAATATTAATGAAAGGGAAAATGGTGTGTGGGAAAAGGGGAAATATATGGGAACTCTGTAGTTTCTGCCTAATTTTTCTGTAAATCCAAAGATGCTGTAAAAATTAAAGTCTATCTGTAAACAAAAAAACAACAAAAAAACCTCTCAAACTAAAGGCAGTTCCAACTGATCTGTTGCAATTATCTTTACCTTTAAAAAAAAAAAAAATCACACCTCTCCCTTTCTGTCCCTATATCCTGCAAGTCTGGTTGCTTAGTCATGCATTCTGAGTTGGGTGTACTTTGATACCAAGTTTTTGGAATGAAATTAACTTAAGAAAGCTGTTTAAAATTCAGTATTATAAAAAGAAAATTCAGTATTATGCTCTTACTATGAAATGAAATCAGTCACAAGAGGACAAATGGTTGCATTTCTAGGAGGTAGAGTAATCAAATCAGAGTCAGGAAATAGAGTGGGGGTGGCTGGTGACCAGGAGAGAGGGAAGGGGAGTTAGTGTGTAACGGGCACAGTTTTAGTTTTCTCACAAGATGAGAAGTTCTGGAGACGGCTAATGGTGGCAGTCACACCACAACATGAATGTATTTCCTGCCACGGACCTGAGCACTTAGCAATGGTTAAGACAGTACCTTTTACCGTCTATGCATTTTACCACACTGAAAAGCAAATGGGTAAGTCATCAAGCCAGACTTGTGGTAGAGAAGTTACCAAGGTAACACAGATGATTGAAATCACACATGAGGGTAGCTAGCACGGTGTCTGTGTCATTCTGTGGGCTTCATATATGTGAATCTTTTTCTTATTAGAGAAAATTTAGGACAAAAATCTTCAAATGAGAAAGTGGCTTTATCACACTAGACAGATCAGCCAGCCCAGCTCCTGGGTCAGATGCTGGCACCCTTCCCTCAGAGACTTGTGCCTTACTCTGGAGTCATTAGCTTGACTGGACCATGACAATGCTGCTGCTGCTGCTGCTGCTGCTGATGATGATGATGATGACAGAGTCAGACAGAGAATGCGAGAGGGGCTGGGGATGTAGCTCAATGGTTCTGCTGCCTGCCTCGCAATTGTAAGGACCTGAATTTGATTCCCGGTACCAAAAAAAAAAAAAAGAGAGACAATGCTAGAGACGCTGAGAGTATTGCATCAGTACTCAGTGTGTAAAGAGCAGTGCAGGTATGGAGAGCAGCGGCTGAGCCCTGCACACCATCCTGGCCTCATGAAGCACCCAGGGCTGAAGCACCCACCGGCCCACCCCAAGAGACCAGGCTTCCCCAGGACAACTCACACTTCATGGTCTTCACTGCCACCTTCTGAGAGGTCCCAGCCTGCTGCTTCAGGTTTCCTTCCATCACAGACCCGAACTCTCCTGTGAGGAGAAGTAGTGCCTGTGTGGCTACTGTGCTGCCCCTCCAGCGGCAGAGACGCCAAGGCCCTGGGCTGCGTTCATGTGGCCCTGGAACTCGTTCCCGGCAGCTAGGCAGGGCCGCCCAGCCCTCAAAAACCAGACACATGCTGTGCACTTGGCTCCTGCTCATTCTGGGCTTAGGGTCTCAGCCTTGGCCCAGCTCTTCACTTTACTGAGCACTTACTTAACTGACCCAAATTCTTACAGGAGGTCATGGGGAATGTTACTGAGCTTCATAAAGCACAAACTCTAAATGGCATTAGTATTCACCCAAAGAAAAAATTAACAAATTAAATATATATTTCGTCTTTGTACCTACTCAGTGTGATCAAAAAGTGGTGAACGTTTAAACACAAATTTTAAAAATGTTACTAAAGTAAAAGACACATTACCATTAATTGCCCTCCAAACCTCCCCCTTCCTTTGAACACACTTATCCTATTATTTTTGCCACTTTCTGAAGCAGTTCTAGAAATTTTCTTTTGTGAAAATCTTTTCATAGCTGCCTTGATGTCCTGAACTGAAAATGTTTATGTTTTCTCCTCATCCACCTTATTTTCTGGATCTGGCACTATGAGACTTCTGGCTCTTCCTCAAAGTCAAAATGATTATGATACTTAAATGTTTTGAATCAACTCAGAACATCAAGGCAGCCACAACAGCACAACTAAAGACACTCACAAAAGAGGACTTCCAAAACTGCTTCAGAAAGTGGCAAGAAAGTTGGATGTGGTGGTGCATGCTTGTTCTCCTAGCACTCAGGAGGCTGAGGCAGGACGATCGCTGCAAGTTTGAGGCCAGCCTGGGATACAGTGAGTTCAAGGCCAGCCTGAACCACATAGCAAAATCCTGTCTCAAAAAAAAAAAAAAAAAAAGTGGCAAGAGCAAAGGAACAAAAGTGTTACAAGGAAGGAGGAGTGTTTTGAGGAGGATTAATAGTAACGTGTCTTTTACTATACAACAAATGTTTTAAAATTTTAAACATATGTTTTGATCACACCTCATATTTCATTAAGAATGTCCAAAGAATAATCGGCTTAATACTACAGGAATAAATTTAAAGAATGTAGGACACCAATCAATAAATTGTATGCTTTTCAATGAGGGAAAGGAATTAATATTTTTCTAGTCTACTGTGTATTCTGGGCACCATGGAGGTTGTTTTCATAGCCAAATCTGAGTTTCAAAAATCAGTATCTACTGTAAATTATTAGGTAGAACTATCTGTGTTATAACTTAAAGTCATCAAAATGGTATTTTATTTAATCAGTATAAATTTCAAACATTCCTCTCAATTATTCCTTCTTATCTCTCATTTTAAGAGAATTATTTTAAACTGCTTACCTTCCCCTAGGACTTTTCCAAGAATTAGAAGATTCCTGTCAATCACAACATCTTCTAGTTTATTTTGTAGTTCCTCACTGACTCCCAAGCTCTGTACTATAAAAGTAACAAGGTACCCAGTCATCAGCATGCTTTGTTTAAATATAATTAGAATTATAGTACAGATATAGATAGATACAGATAGACATAGAATTATAGATAGTA